ACTTTAGCACGAACTGTTTCGGACAGCAAATTTATTTTTTCTGTGTCTTGTCCGACTGACAGACACATCGCGAACATTCGAAAGGACCTCTGGAAATCACAAAAGATAATAAATAACCAAACGCCGCGCGAAACACTTTCCACATTCTTTAATATCTTAAGAGCAAACTTTTGCAGACTTTATCGAAATCATCTCTCTTCCAGCGGATTGGATTTCAAGGAGGTAAATTCATTTTCCTCTGAAGCCGATGCTGAATACCGTGAAAGGACTTTGGAAAAGTTTGAAAAATGGCAAAAGCTGGTGGATGCAAAGGCCGATGAACCCGATTGTGAGATTCTAAGTGCCAACCTACGCACCGAATCCACTGAAACAAGTAAGTCTTTGGCTTTCCTGATCTTTAATGCTAGGTCTGATTATACCGGAGTGATGTCTTATTGGTTCTTGCTGAATGTCGTGCTTTTCAGTATCCTCTGTCTACCATATTGTTAGTGTTTACTGTATATCGAGCCGCTCGCATAGATCAAAAATGCAAACAGTCATTATTTTACCTTAATACTAAGTTTGCATCAATCGTGCATTCTACGTGCTTAAAATATACAAGAATATTTATCTGTTTATCTGATGAGCTAATTCAAAATCTTCACAGAATCGGTCGTATAATCACTTAGTGTTACTTATTTGTTTCTGGCTGAATATCTCGCTATCCCAAAGGACTTACATGAAACGTTCTTCTGTTTGCGCGGTACTGCATTGTATCGGCTACTAGGCTCTCATTAACTATATCACCTTTTCCTTCTTGAATCTATTTTTCACTCGACACCATTCATCGATTTATATTCGTGTTATCTTATCGAGACAAGTTCTATTAACTGTCTGGTACGATTCATCTCGCTTTTGCCACTTGACGATACATTAGTAGTACAATTGAATGGCATACTTTCAAGTCAAAAAATTCCTATACTTGACTAGGCATGCACAGATGTACAACTACTTCTGTGCCCCCGTGGAGAATACGCACATCGGACATAATTCAGACCAAGCAGTAAAATAATTCTTACCCAAACACCCACAAACGGTTAGTATGTGGTAATATATACAGTCCAGTTTGAGAATGAACCTGGGGCAGAACCTTTCGAAGACATGCGAGACAAACTGTAGAAAAGTAAATGTCCAGAAGAATATCAAATGATTTGCCTAACCCTCTGCAGTCATGACTGAAAGAAACATCTGCAATAACTTCGGCAATAAAAAGCAAACGGCCTAGTCATTGATTAAGAATATGAAGAGTTCGGAAACAACAGAAATGATGCATTGATCAGGATGGTAAGCATCGGAATGTTTGTTCCATCAAACTCTATTTGTGCGTACGCTGCACGTGGTTTTAGGTCAACGTCGAGAGCAGCACACAACGAGTAACGAGAGATATTGGGAATATATCCTGGTGAAGACCAGTATACCAAGAAAATGATCTACAGCAAAGCGTGTGAATGGTCTGGATGGGGTGGTGACACCGACATGCCTTCTAAACAACCGACAGAGAATGTAGCAATGTGGAAAAGTGCATGAACGGACCGCGAAAGATGCCAATGTAGTGAAAGGAGAGAGTTGTGGCTAGTATTGAATGAGGTGAGCGAGCGTCGAGAAGGCAGGGTACCGGCTGTTTTTATCGACACACCGTTACATCATCCCTGTCCCAGGTCTGCGCGCAAAATGTTGAATTTATGCAAACAAATCTATACAATTTTAAGCCCGTTATAATATAAGATGAAAGTAGTTTGCTTCATTATTATTTTCAATGAGATTTTGAAAATTTTGCTTGATAA